CTGCCAGATGGAGCGGAAGTTTGGCAAGCGTTTCATGGCTCTGCCTGTGAGCGAAATGTCTGTGAGGAGTCGGCTCGAAAACGCCGAGGGACAAACTCATGGTGCTGGCGTATTTTAGTCGCAGTGGCCATTACAAGAAGGATTGTTCTTTTTGGTGTGCAAATTTCATCTGATTTAATACTGTCTTTCATAAATAAAAACTCAATTTTACTTTAAAACTCGTTTTTCTCAAAACACAAATTTTGCCATTTTTTCCAATGTGCCCCTCCTTTTTCGAGCACTTCTAGTGCTCGGATCTGCATGAAATTTTGCCCATATTTTTTCCAAAATATGAAAAATGCAATTATATAGTTTAAATTTCAATATTTTATTGTATAATAAGAAAAATTGTATGTATACCTTTACTAGGGTAGGTGAAATATGGACTTTTTATGTCTATTATTTTTCATGCGTATTACATATTTTGTATGTGCTTCCTAATTATTTATTTGCACTCTACACTTTGTTTGAAGCATTATGAGCTATGAACGGTAAAAAATTACAGAATTTTAGGCATGAAAAGAAGGGGGGGGGGGGCAAAAGGGTTAACGTTTTTACTTTGTCATGTTGCAGAGCTAAAAGTGTGTAACTTGCAAGAAAACTAATTATATATTTCAAATCAGCATAAAAAAGTTCCATAAACAGCTCAAGTTTCATTGCTCTAGGTTGAATAATAAAGAAAAAGTGTCTTCGAGTAGCATCTCTCCTGAACTCTCCCGACCGGGCAGGTTTTGTCAGTAGTAAATGCTTACTTTCCTTCAGACGTACACGACACTCAGACATTAGATACTTTAATAACTACGTGTGGAGGAAATATTTTACTAGCAGGTTACCTCAGCTCCCCCCATGTTACATGGGGAGTAAAAACTGATAGGTGTGGCATTGGGCCCAAGATAGTCATTTTTCATGTCAGAAGCCCAACATACGTATGCAGTCATACTTCTTCAGAGCTAGATTTAACTTTTACAAGCTTCAACCTTAATGTTTCATCTTGGTCAGTCGTTCATTGCGCAACAAACAGCGATCACTTACCGATAACTTTCAAAATAGAAATTCAGATAGCCTCATCAATCTCTATTACTCGTATGCATATAAACTACTCATAATTTAAAGATTCCTTACTTTCTTCACTGTCTTCTTTGTCAAATAATAGCACGATGCCAAAGGCTCGGAGCTTACATTCTTTATTAAAGAATTCCCGTGAGAAATCTGAATTCGTGGTGTCGTCAACTAATCATAACTCGAATTCTCCTTGGTAGAATCACGATTGCACGAGGGACTATAGACGCAAGAAGGCAGCATGGGAAAAGCTTTTGTACAATTAGTGCCCTCAAAATTGGAAACATTACCAGTTCGTTGCAGGTGTTTTTAAACGTACAGTTGCCAAGTCAAAAGAAGATTACGAAATGTGGAAGCTCCATTATCTTTCTAAATCCAAGAATAAAAAAGTGTTAATTAGATTACTACGTAAAAAGAAAATGATTCTGCAATCAATAAATGCAGACTCTATCATTTTGTCAGCCGAAGAAATAAAAGCTTCATTAGAAGTGATTGGTAAGGAATCGGAGCAACGTTTTTCCAGCCAACTATCACCACCTCCTTCACATGCGCTAAGAGACGAGGACTTCACAGAAGTTTCCAGGTATGAATTGTCGCAGGTGTTAGCTAACTTGCCACCAGCGGCTCCGGGCCCTGACGGAGTTACGTCGTTCATGTTGAAAATGATGCATAAAGAGTGCCAAGAATACCTATTGGATATAATCAACTATTCTTTAAGAATGGCATGGCTCCCATTGGAGTAGAAAATAGCAAAGGTAATACCAATACTGAAAGTTCCGGGTAAAGGATACGTTTTGGATAACATTAGGCCCATTGCGTTAACCTCAAACTTTGTCAAAGTAATTGAGAGAATCCTAAACGTTCGAATAACAAATTTCATCAATAAGAGAGAAATTTTGAATCCATCCCACATTGGCTTCAGATCCAGATGCTCCATATAGCAGGCCCATATAGACCTTGAAAGTCGCATAAAGTTAGCTAAGCATGAAGGAAAATATGCTGCGCTCACCACTCTCGATATAGCAAAAGCGTACGACAGCGTTGAGCATATAGTGTCAATCAACCATCTGCACAAACTTAACTTCCCAAACTATATTGAGTCATGGATAGCAGAATTTTTACGCTATAGAACGTTTTACTGTTACAAAAGCGGCATCTCGTCTTCTGAACATGTGCAAACAAGAGGTGTCCCACAAGAGGCTGTCCTTTCCCTGGTGTTGTTTAATATCTTGATGAGCTCTGTACCATGGCACCAGGACATTCACACTTATGCGTATGCAGACGACATCGCATGCTTTTCAGCAGCAGAGGACATTCATAAGCTATTTCAAATATTACAGACATACCTATCTGCCGTAGAAATGTGGCTTGATAGCTTATATCTGTATTTAAATGGCAAGAAATGTTCTGTTTTAACATTTGCACTCAAAGACCATTTTCACCTTTCGCTCTCCTATCATCTGGATCCTATCCCTCGAGTAGTGAATCTGAAATATCTGGGGGCGATCTATGACCAATCAATGTCTTGGAAGACACACATTGAGTACATTGCAGCAAAGGGACGTCGTGCGATGGAAATATTAAGCAAAATCAGTCATAGTCGGTTAGGTATGCGGAGAAATACTCTCATCTCAGTGTATTGTATGTATATTCGCCCGGTGCTTGAGTTTGGATGAGTGTTCTACGTGGGGGCACCTGCCTACAAGATACATTCTCTGGTAGTCATAGAGACACAAACCTTGAGACTATGCTTAGGTCTCCCTAAGTTTGTTTCAATCAAGATCTTGTATATGGAGGCTCACTTGCGACCCGTTTTAAATTGTTAGCTACACAGGCATTTCTCAGGCTGTATGAATCGCCGTTAAGGCGCTTAGAAACAGTTTTTATTGACCGTCCTGACTTGTTTTTTGGACAACACTGGTCGAGATTTCGTATACCCCGAATTCTAGTTATACAGCGCTTTCTAGATGATCTAGACGTTCAAATTAATGCTGTTCCTTTAATCAGCACCATTCACAATGCTATTGAATTACAATTTGATGATATATTTCCAAAAATTTCAAAACTGATACTGCTCAGTTTTTTAGAAGCTATATTAAAAGATTACCTGGCACATACGCCAAGACAAGCAGTCATAGCAACTGATGCATCACAAAGGGAAGAAAAATGTGGAATTGGTAGTTTTTCTCCTGCCTTAGACTGGTCCTTTCCACTTCGCCTTCCAGACTTTGTGCCCATATTTGAAGCAGAATTTTTTGCAATAATTCTAGCTCTCTGTAAAATGACTGCTTCAGTAAGGTCCACAATAATTTTAACGGATTCACTATCAGTATGTGCCTCCCTTACTGCAGATGAGAACTCGCATGCTCAGAGTGCATTCAAAGCATTAGTTCCCTCGCATCTCAATCTGATCAAATTGGTCTGGGTTTCAGGACATAAGGGCATTTATATGAATGAAATGGCAGATGCGCTGGCCACGTCATCTTTAAATGGGGCTGTTATTGAGGTATTACCAGCATCGAAATTCTTGATAGATGCTAGATTAAGAAGGAAACTGCTGTCAGAGGAATTTTCTCCACCTTCACTAACAGCCATACCAGAATTCAAGCACTTGTTATAGCATTGGAATAGTAAAATATGTCAAACACGAGGAACGGAAGTCGCAATCACTAGTGAACCGATCGAAACCATTGGAAATAAAACTAAGACTAGACTGCTCTGTCAAATGCCGTAGCTAAATTTACATTTACACAGAGCTGGTCTGGCAGCCTCCCCTCATTGTCCTGTTTGTGGAGTAAATGAGTGAACTGAACATTACCTCATTTATTGTAATAGATTCTCTTCCTTATGTAAAAACACTTTAGGTGCCATTTGCCACCTTCTCGGAATAGATTTAAATGCTCAAAATGTGCTTTCTTTCGGGGCTTTGTCTCTAGGCCACAGCGACGGGAAGATTTTTGACAAATTGCAGGAGTTCGTCAAAAGTTCAAAGAGGTTTAAGTGTTGAAATCATTCTTCGGTAGATTTTGAAATTTCCAAATTCATATTAAATCAAATATGATGCTTTTTGTATTACACTACAGATTATTTACAATTCAACCATCAAATTCGTCTTGTAGCATCTTTCTTTTATTTCTCATAAATAGATTATTTTAACCTGTTATTAAGGAAGAAATTTATAAAAACTATCCGGTTCTTGGCCGATCCCCCAGCGTGGGTATGCGTCACATCGTCAAGGATCTTGACTTGACTAAGACACTGTTTTGTCGCTCCCTATAATAAGCATTTATAGGAGCTTCAACAAAGGGCCAGTTGCTGAAAGTGCAAGTACTAATTGTAATTAGAAGGCTTCTCGTCATGCTACCAGGGTGGACAGAATACCTGAACATGGACAGTGACGTCATCTGTACAAAGATTGATCTTGTACCTATAAGAAATGTCATCGAACGCCTTCAATTAGTGTGAGCATATGTACATGAAAGCTCTCAGACAGACAATCAAATTTCTAGAGCAGAAGATGCTCCTGATAGCGCGCTCCGAGAAAATGCAGCCACTGAAGTCTACGTGCTGGTGGAAGATATTCCCAAGTCGGTTCAGAGACACTGTCGAAACACAGTGACACTTCCATTATATAGGAGTTGCATTACAGAAATCGTGGCATAATTATGTTTGATATTAAGAACAGATACACATTCATTATAAGACACGCTCGTATAACCGAGATAAACTTAACAATTACTTTATTAGAGTGGGTTGTAAGTATACTAGCACATGTTTTCATTATATGAAGGCTGGTGAACAGTTTAACAATGTGTTCCGCTTCGCATCCCACAAAGTATAATACATTTCAGTTCATACATATTAAAACTCAATCACAGCAAAGAAGAAAAAGTAAAGACTGAGAAAATTTAAGAATCTCTTTATTCACTATGCAAGTTGCTGGTTTGCTAGCACCCTTGGCAACATTATACAATATTTATACATCTACACATGATCGCCCTATGTCTTTTGTGGTAATAGAAACTAATTCTGTACAGCAAGGCATGCCACATTTCACAAAAGCCTCAAGTAACAACATTAAAAACAATTTTCGCAGTATGCACACCAAATCATACTTAGTAATGACCTCACAAGGCCTCCATAGAGTAATTGGTTTCGTGGCAATATATTATAAATACAATACTATACGTAAACTAAATTTATTGTTGCGCTATCAACAAATATCTCTTTCCATAGAATCTACTATATAACATGCTAATCTTGTCACATCCAAGCCTTAGGATTGTGAGGTGAACTGATGCCGCATATCCACAGACGTGTAGAAAAGAATGTATGCATTTCTTTTCTGAAAAAGAAACCAGAAATAAGCATGCAATAAGCGATGAAGAACGTAGTTTTCATTAGGAGTGCACTTAAGGTATTGTCAGTAAGGCCCGTATTTACAAACCAAGCTTATCCTTTTATTATGTTTTCCTTTTATTTCTGTACACTCAGCATGCATCATAATGGCCCAAAATGATTACAGGATTTAGAAAATGACCACAAGATTGCTATGAGACTTTTACATACACAGTGAACTTTGTTAAACCGTAGTTGGCAGGTGCTTGAAAAAAGTATGTACTAAACGGTAGTATTGCTTGACCGAATAAACGTCAGGTCACCCACTTACCTCTCAAAAAAGGAAACCTTGAGAGAGTGTGATGAAAGAACAAAAAACGTGCAGTAATTTATTAACTTCACGTGACAAAGTATGTTATCTTCATTCGACGATGCGGCGGCCTAGCAGCAATGACAGAGGCCTCAAACTCACTTATGCTGCAAGCCAGCTGTTCCGCCAGCCCCTTCCTTTTGGCAAATGCCCGCATGACGGGTATTTGCCAAGCCTTAGGATTGGGCTTTCTTCACGAAGAGGGGTCCGCAGATAGGCAGATTTTTCAATCGTGCAGCTTTTTGCCACTTCACCAGCACCTTTTCTACATCCGAAAACGACCAACTGCATAGCCGGTACCTTTTCACAGTTGCAGCAGCACTGCTGAGCAACTTCTTTCTGGAATTATGAGTTCCACACACCGTGGTTAATGGCAGGTCCTTTACGCGAGCCAGCGCAAATTTTTTCATGCCATGTTCAATAGCACGAAATAAGTTCAATTTCTTTATTTTCAGCACTTGGTGTTTTTGTCCTAGCTTCAGCATGACCGAAGTACAAAGCAGCGCAAGCATGAACGACACGTCATGAACGACACGTCATGAACGACACGTCAAGAACGATGCTCCTGCAGCCTTTGCAGCTCTCGCCTATAGCATGGCACGGCCAGAGAACACCTACCGCTTTGGCACGGCACCGAAGAGACAAAGACGACAAAGCAACGCACAATGATGATCATCATGATGTCAGTGGTCTCCCTTTTATATCAGGGGGTGGGTGCGGGTAGGGCACCTTTCTAGTGTCCTAATTGGAAGAATAACTAAAAACTAAACAAAAAAAAATCACAACACACTATGTTCGCGCAGAGTGCCACCACATGAACAATATCAGAAGCATAGCCAGCCCAGTGCTGAACTCCCAATTCGGGAGGCCACGTACTTCTGTTGCAGAAAGAAATCAAAGAGATGACGCTCATCAACGCAGACGCGATACCAATGTGAACCCCCCTGGCAGCGACAGCAATAAAAAATAAATAAGAATAGAATAAGAAATAAGAATAAATAAGAATAAAAAATAAAAAAGACTTCTGAGATGGTGGTCAGGGAGACAGTGAACAATTGTAACGTTCATCGACCTGTTGTGAATTTTTTTGTTTCAATTTATTTAATTACTGTTACGGCCAGGACACTAAAACGTGCCCCACTGATATAAAGTGGAAGACCACACGAATCATCATCAGCGAGGCGTGTTTCGATTTCGGGTGCTTGCTGTTCAATCAGGACGCCCAATGGGAGACGCCATGTGGCGAGGGGTGTGCAACGAAAATTGAAAAAAAAAAAAAAAACTATGCGGTAATCGATACATACGTGATAAGCTGGGACAGTTTATGCGGATACAAAATGCATTATGTTAAATGGCCGCCGAGTCAGGTATTTGACTTTACTACTCTTGAAGCGAAACTACTGTTTAAGTGGGTACGGTTTAACAAGATTTCACTGTAGATACCTCGTCAGTTCATTAGGAGCAGCTTGGTCTGGTTACGAATGAGGGTAACATGCTTTAATGGTGTGGGCATAGGTGAAGACAAGACGCACACGGCCCATAATAACTTGCCAGGAAACAGCAAAGAAATGTTAAAAAAAAAAAACTAGAGTCACATTTTACAGCTTCTACTGTAGTGGCACTACTCATGAGGTACCAATGCACTAATATAAATAGCACAACACAAAATATGTTTTGTATTTGTGTTTTTTACACCACTGGGAAACATAAGTTCTGGATAAATTTTCTTTTTCTCTATTGACTCCAATGAAACTTGTTGAGTTCATGTGAATCTCTATGCAGATATGCGATTATTTTTCAAGTATAGTTAGCAATTTTTGAAATATCAAACATTTGATTTGCTTTATTGGGAGCAAAAGTGTTGTCTAAACTGACAGAGTTACCAAGTAAATAAGCACATCAGAATAACCTGGAATGAGAGCTTTGTGCAATAAAACAAGAATGGATGTTCTAAATTTGTTTGGACAAAAGTTATGGTAAGCTGGACATTCGTGAGCAACTCCAGGACAAGCTGGGATTTCAGTCACGAAATTTCAGCTCATTATAAATTTTGCTCAAGTAAGTTTAGAACATCCATTTTTGTTTTCCTGCGCTTAGATCTCATTTCAGGTAATTCTGACATATTTAGTTCGTAACTGTCTCAGTCTAGGCAAACTATAACTTCTAAAATAACACATGGAAGGGAGAATAGTTCAAAACCAAATAGTGTACTAAGAAAATGATTCCATATTCAAAACTATTTAGTTTTCCCTAAATCAATAATGAACTTAGAAGAAAGTTTTCAACTGCAGCACACCCCCTTAAATCGGCTGAAGTTCTATAAGAGAGCACATGTCAAGTTTTATTTTTGCACTTCACTCGTGATAAAATTCACCTTCTTTCAGTATTCTCAGTGCCCCAAACTTTGCTAAGGCTTCATTCAGACTCAAAGAAAACACAATCATCACCTTACACAGAGGCACAAATCAAGAATAAAAAATTTTTTAATGTGTCGTAGAAGACTCACATCAGATTCAGATAATGTAACTTCCGTCACAGATGCATCATCGTACATGTACCACTGCCCTCCAAGGCCCGCACGGCAATAGGCAATATCTGAGGAGGGAAAAGAAGAAGAAGACCAATTCAGCAATATTTCTGCAGACATTCTAGGTGATTTAATGACATATACAGTGACAGTTGAACTTTGGTAAGAAGAGGTTTCTGTAAAATGCACAATAACACTATACTCTGTTTGACCACCATGGTTCAGCACTACCAAAGCTAAGGGTTATAAGAAAGCCACACGCTAGCGCAGCAAAACGTAGTCTCAGATATAGTAAGTGCCTCGAAATTCGTTCAGCGAACTGTGAGCGTGGGAACACCCACAAGAGACAGGGAGAGAGTGAGCTCTGTGTGCCTCTTCGCTGTCTCTTGGGTGTGCTCCCGCACTCCCAGTTTGCTGAACGAATATCAACAACAAACTAGCCTACCTTTCTATCCTGTTGCAATGCCTTAAAATTGGCAAGGCTGACTAAAATTGGTGTTTTTTTGTGTGTGTTACGCCACATTGATGCATGATACCTTTATTCTTTGCACTTATTTGGTATGGATTAAATTATTGGTGTGAGTTAGCGCCATGAACTGCGTTAAGAAATCAACATAGCAGCACCCACGCTGAAGTGACCGCCCGCTTCGATCTGAACACGCCCACTGAGCTGACAGCAAGAAATAAATAGTAAAATCAGCCATCAATTTGTTTCATATTACTCTTAGGATAAAGCATTAGATGTGTTTTGTCGTTATTAGACAGTTATAGTATACCGGGCGTATCGTGATATCGGAATCGAAGTGCACATGCGGAGATACGTACGTTATCCGTACCGCTTACAGTACACACGGTATTTTTCAGATTTAAAGTTACGGTGGTAGTGTAATACCCCTGTCACACGGCCACCACTAAACTCCGTTGAACACCGTCAACGTAAATCTCCCCTAGGTGGTTCGACGGAGAAGGAGTTGTGGCAGTGTCACACGGCAATGAAAAGGTTGTAACAGTAGGCGCGAGGGGGCTCAGCTGGCGCTGTTTGATTTTCGGAAAAGTATTCTAATTTCATCTCTATTGATTTTTTTGTGAATCCTCGTTCTAGGGTTTTTACAAAAAACCACTATTAAGGAGGTAAGAGGCTAACAAAATATTTTCAAAGAAAAACGAATTTGCTAAATATAGCGATGCTGCTAGTGACACTGGCCACATTGTGCTTTTAGTTGTTTTGCTGCCTGTGTTCATGTTTGTGTACGAAAGTTCTTGTGCTTCCTTGCCTCGTGAGCGCACATTTTGTGTTCTTCAGCCATGAGTGACACAGCGACGACCACAACCACACGCATGGACGAAATATTTTTCAATGGCGCCGGCCGGCCCGACTCGCGAGGCACCACGTGCGAGGCACGGAGTGTAGGGCATCGGTGTTGAGAGTAAGTGAACTCTGGCGGGCGTAAATATATGTAAACAAACACGCGTTGTGAATGACTACTGCAAAGAAAGAACGTTTAAGATTGCCAAAATGTATTATTCTTTCACTGCGGCCACTTAATGCTCGAAATTTTTCTCTGACCTCTAGACTGCTGGGGATGAGAGTACCTCGTTTCGCTGCGAAGGGAGATCGTTGAACGTCCTTTGCGAAACGCTCCGTTTACCTTCGTTTGGGTAAGGGTGGCCGTGTGACACGGACCGCATCTTCGTTGTCGTAAGGATGAGGGAGTTAAACGGTCTTCGCGGGTGCCCGTGTGACAGGGGTATAAGTGTACGTAGTGTACGTAAACATGGTGGCGGGACACCCGCTTTGAAGTGATTTTGGCGTAGTTGTTCAAAAATTTACCTTGTTCGCAGCAAACTACTGTTTAAGGTGGCTTTGCTTGCCTTCAGTTAGCTTCGATGACTGAGTATTACGCATAAGATGGTGTAATTTTTGAGATAGCTTCCCTTTTCGAATGCATCTAGGCCTAACTACAAGATCAATGTAAACAAATCGGCAGCATAATTTTTTCGCATTTGGTGCATGGTTCGTATTTATTTTCTTTTATTATTAGCAAAGTAAACTTGTAACAATGGTTCATGCTGTGGCATAGGCAAACATTCTCGTTTCCTTTTTCCTTTTCACTGTCTTTAACTTATTACCCATCCGATAGGTGGCATCACCGTCCCAGCTGGGGCACGTAAATGCTATTCTGCTAAACTATAAGACGCTGTCCACAACTAATGTTAACTGCACGGTAACGCCAATTCCCTTAACCTCTGCTATCACACTAACGGTAAACTATAATTGTCTATTAGCGAGATATGCTACTTGCTTAGCTGCACCTGCTATGCGTAACGCGCCGAGACAATGCTTGGGCTGCTTTGCCAAACTAAGAACGCTGCATTTCCTACAGACATGCAACCTGGCACAGCGTTTCATTTGCATCAGATCCTCCTTCGATGGAAACAGAAGAGAGAAAAAATGCGTTGCAGCAGAATATGCGAAGAAACACGTTGACAGAGAAGCAGTCATACAGGAGCCACGAACAGCGTTGAAGAGAAACAGCCACAAAGTGAAGTTATCCGCCGGCATGACCATCTACTGATCTTCAGCTGAGCAAGAAATCCCTGCTTCGAATTCCTGGTGTGGCTGCTTGTCTCACTGTTGTACTGTATTTATAAGTTAATATACTAGCCAAAGTATCTGCAATGAGCGTGTATACACATTTCAGCGAGCAGACGCCGTGAAAATGATGAGCAGACGGCATGACGCAGACGAATACATGTGGAAGTGCTCTTACTATTAGCCGAAAGACCCTATAGCCTACGCAGTGCTGATGGAAACTTCTGAAACAGTGTACAAACAGCAAAAGAGCACCATCAAGTAAGTCAAGTGGGCTAAGCATGTGCTTCACATAAGTACTGCTGAAGCAGCCCACTCTCAAAGCAGTATGCAGTGGGTGCAGCAACTAAAGGCATGCAGAAAATGTGTTCTTCAGTACTGGACCATCACCTGTAACATACAGATGTCTCGCATACACCATGCATATCCCGCCATTCAAGTTAATTTTACACATAAGGATCTTTGACCAACAGGAGGCCTAGTTGTTTTGTACTATTGATGGCCTGGTGGCTGTTTCCTCAAGTATAATGGTATTCCTATGTACAAGACTTGAGTACTGTGAACATGCACCCTCTTTTATCTGGCGCTTTTCACCCAAATATTACTATTTCTGGGAACTCATTAGCTGATCAAATTTAACATATCAAAGAGGAAAACCAGTTAACAGATCTACGGTTTCCCTTAACATTAGATTCATTAAATGACAATGCTCAATTTGGTAGGGGGCTTGGTTGAGGGCATAAAACTAGTGGAGTAGTAAGATAGTAGAGGTTAACCTTGATATACTGAGCTTAAATTAACAGAACTCTCGGTTTAATCCTTTCAGAGTCAAACTTTTCACGAAAAGCATACATGGTTGGAAGGGTGGAAGTGAACTTCCGTGTTTTGGAGCAGCTCAGGGAGCAGGAATAACACTGTTTTGGAGCACCTTCGGTGTAGTAAAAGGGGAGTTTCAGAGCAGCTTCGGAGCACCAAAAAGTTTGTTTTGGAACAATGCGAGTTAGTTTTGAAGCAGCTTTCGAGGGTCAAACATCATCATCAATCAAAATTACTTCTGGAAAAAAAAATCCGATGGTTTTTACTAAACATTCAGTAGTAATAGATTACAAGGCTTACAACCCAATACATGTGTGTATTTGTAATAATAAATTTAATTATTGAGGTTTTAATGTCCCAAAGCCCCCATATGATTAAGAAAGATGCCGTAGTGAAGGGCCCTAGAAATCTCGACCGCCTGAAGTTGCCCCTAAGCACACGGGCCTCAAGCATTTTTGCCTCCACCGAAAATGTGGCCGCTGCAGCCGGGATTCGATCTCGTGACCTGCAGGTCAGCAGCCGAGCGCCAGTGTGTGTGTATGTGTTCCCATCACCAAACATCTCAGCTGACTGAAGAATAACGCGGAGAAAACGAAAGACAAGTGATGCTTATCTCTAATTTTCATGAGCGCTACATAATAGCAGAGCACTCTGCTTGGCAGAAGTTTTTTGTTTCCACGCTAATTTAACACACTAATCTGCTCATCTGTGCTTGGTATTAAGCTGAGCGGAAACGAGCAACTCACACCACAAATACGTGTGCACGGTACAGCAAGCCGCCCGGCTGTGACAGTGTGGGCAGCATTGGCGTCGCGCTGCGCGCAACTAACAAGGACATAATAGAGTCCACATGACCGCTGCGTGTTTTCAATTAAAGTGCCAGTTGTCGCTTAGAATCGGATCGCGGCAGAGAAGCGCACGTATGTATAGCAAACAGTCGATGATGTCCGTCCTGTCGCTATCTTGCTCGCTTCATGTTCCGGATCCTCTAATAGTTTCGAAATGTTCCTTGGCATTACCGATCAAGCAAGAGTGCTAGCCCAGTATATTTTCCACACTTTGGCAAAAAGGAAGCAATTATTCTGGTGGGCACTTAGGGCAACATCTGCCGTGGTTCTTTGTTGGTGGCTATGACGAACGTCAGGAGATGCCCATTTGTACTTGTAAACGCGCACTGCCGTTTAGTGCATGGCCATGCCAAGTTCGTGTCTGGTACAATTTATCGAGGTTTCACTGTTTCACTAAATAATTCACAGTTACTCATGTTGGTGCCACCACTTCAGCGGGGATACAGTGTACCAGAATATACTATATAGTGGGGGGGGGGGGGGGAAACCACGATGATATTAGCGATGAGACGAGTACCAGCATGCCCCATGAATGAACCGAATTACAACATGATCAAACACTGCATATCATACTGCAAATCGATACATCCACGAACTTCGCACAGCCAACGCTTAGTGTTGCTCAGTCAACATACAATAATACTCAGCTAGATTTGGTGATTGCAACTCCAATCGACAACTATTGCGGAAATCGCCGTTTATGCACAGCCTGGTGCAGCAGGTCAGATTGGCGCATTATGGCACGATTGCCACAGCATTTCCACCCCTGTGCATAGCAAAAATGCATTTTTTGTTTTGCTGAAAAAGCTTCTTCAGAATATTCTATTAAAAAAAGATTAAGAAGTTTTTTTCGTGACCGTAAAGTAACAAAAAATTATATTGTGTTCTTAAATACACAGTTTATGCACAAAAACATTGAGCAAAGTCCCAAACAACAACACTTTTCCAATTTTTTATAAATAAGAATTATGCATTATAATAAACATTGCTCACAGACATACAAAATTAAGTGCCCCAGAGAACTTTTGTGGTGAAGAATGCTTTTGCTCTAACACTAAACACTGTGGACTAGTCATCTTTAGTCCAATCCTAATCGTAATGCCACACATGCTTTCAAGATGTCACTCCTTCATAATTAGCTGGGTCTGAACTCGTAAGTAAATCCTTGTCTGATCAACTGAAATCCAATGAATCATATTTTTCACTTGGGAAATAGTCCACATTGAAAGAATCGCCACTCGACTCACTAGCAGCAGGACAACTGGCGCGTGCTTCGATAAGTCGAAACTGTGAGAATGAGCACACAGAAGAAATCTCTGTGAATGTGCGTCTGTCTCGGCAGCGAAATGAGTGAAAAAGCTATAACACGTGTCATCACCAACGATATACTTACCATCACCAACTAGATAGTTAGTTTTTTCGAGTGCCCAAAATAGAAAATGCAACCACAGAGGCATCGCTTGTGTAATTTAGCACTGCACAGACACATGTAATTGCTCCTCGGGAAGCAATAAATGAGAGCATCACAAGCAGTCACCCTTTGAGAGATTGAAAATTAGAAAGGGATCAACTTTGCAGGGCCGAGAAGCGATAATCACTAGAAGGACGAAACTGAAACCAACGAAACTGAGTGCACGCGGTCAGATGCACAAGCAAAAGCCAGCAAAGAACTTTGGAAAGAAAAAAAAAAAAGAGATTTCAGTGCCTAAAAATTATTGCACATTTTCTCTAAGTGTGGCAGCGCATTCTAGGCAAGAAAAATTATCGATAAAGTGCACATTCTAAGCCAGCCACACCACAGGCTCACTCTAATGCACAAACAACTTCCAAAGCACCACCTTGTGAAGCATAAAAAAAGTAACAACGAAGACACACTGTGCATGAAAAAAAAACTACACGTATTTTCAAGGTTTGGCAGCACATACCAAGCAAAAGATATGGTCAAAAAAGACATATGTTTCAAACATAAGACCCTGAAATGATTGAGAAAGCAAACAAAAATGGAAGCGTGAGTGAATTGCTATGCATTCATCTTGGTTGATGCAGCACATGCAAAAAGATGACGAAGAAAAAGAACACAAACAGGTGCTGACTCACAGCTAAAATTATTTGGGAAAGAACAAAATAAAAATATATATTTAGGTAACTATTTGGGCTTTTTGTAACATCTCTTACATTTAACACTGTATTTGTAACCCCAATATAAATTTCAAGGGCTAACATACCAAATCTTTACTGCTGCCCAAAAGAAGGATTAAGGCAATAAATTGATGTTCTTGCTGGTGCTGATTGTCAAGCAACTGAGTTACGAACAGAGAGAAGCTGCTCAAGCAAAGAGGCGTCTTTTGCTTCTGCGATTGGGACAAAAGGGTCTCCCCATCTTCAGAACAGCGGAGCATGCAGGAAGCCTGGCATACCATCACAAGCACTGCACTGTGCAGCAGAGTCTGCGCTGACTGTGCCGTGACCAATTTAGTGCTTTCATAATCGACACGTAACAAGTGACATGTCATAGGGGTAGCGATACTGAACGACCACACTCTTATTGAACAAGTGATCAATGACAAATGGATGTTATTGATAAAGCTGATATGTTGCAACAGATCTCAATAAAAAAAAAAGAGCATGTTACCACTTGCTTCGGGGCAACCTAGCTAAAGAACCCCTACGATCCCCATTGAAAGCAGTCAGATTGGGCGCATGTCTTTTACCCCAAATAATAGTTCTTGATGACTGCAATGACACCAGTTTTAAAGGAACCCTGCAACACTTTTTAAACATGCTCAGAAAATGCTGCTGATCAGTAGTAGAGGCTTCTGAGAATGCACGAGCCAAATACTATAGCGCAGCAGGGATCGTCACAGGAAGTTGCGACTTGTTGACGTCTCCATGACCATCATGCTGAAAAATCTGTGTACTCAGAAAAAAAAAAAGCAAACGAAAAAGTGTTCAAGGTCGCGAAGCACACGTGATGTATTTTCTTGACCCTTGCCAGCCCCCCTTCCCTGCTTAGCTTCAAGCGATTTCGTCAGGACGAGAGAAGAGAGAATGCGATTGCAAAGTGCGACAAATCTTTGTAACTCCGCTTGCACTTGACGAATTCCCAAAATTTTGTGCCGTTGAATTCGTGAGACAATAAGATCTTATAGCAAGTCCACTTCATGGTTACTTGAAAAAGTGTTTCAGGGCCCCTTTAAGTATTTCTTGGACCTGCTCACAGTTACCCGCTACAATACTACAAGTGGTGACCTTTAGGCATGTGCAAGTATTCCAGAGATTATCAGAGAATTCCCATTCACTCCGTCACGAATTTAAAGTATACTGGATTTTGAAGTATTCAAATTGAACAAAGAGACATACACAATTCACATGTAACCCACTACTAAAATAGTTTCACTGCTGTAGAGAGGTGTTAAGCTGTGAATACACCTGTCCAAAAGAAATCTGTAATGCAGCAAAGTCCCACTTTAAGGTTAAATGAACATAATACGGTTTAATACTCTCGCATCGATTCACCATTTGTTCAGTTCAAAAGTTTGTTATACTGGCTTATATACTCTGTGTATAGTCAATTTTAAAACGTAACTTGTTTTACAGGTTGTCACTTGCTAGAATCTACTAAATGACAATTTCTGCTACTATTCAAAGTTGCTTCCACTGCCCTTTAGAATTCTATTTGTAGGTGCCGTGTCCTAATAATAACAAAATATATTGTGCAAGTTAGTTGGTTTAGGACAAATATGCTCATTTTTAATTATAATATGTAATATATACTACCAAAATTCAATTCAATATTACTCAACCAAAGCACTACTACATAGTTTCAAACCTAAAATTTACTATTTGCACGTGTCTTAACTTACGCAAGTTCGTGTGGTTGTGTCCTGCGATCGAATTGATTTACCAGACCACTCTGTCCTACTACATGGACATATTTTGAAGCGTCCGTGAATATAGCTTACATTAAAAAATATATATACAGGAGCCTCCCGAACAATCCAGGAGACATGGCAGGTATATGATGATAACACCAATACATATTGTTCTCTCCTGGTGGCGGCGCTTTTGTAGCCTCTGCGACTAGCTACGACAATTTACTGTAGCCAATCGTGGAGGCCACGCTACTTTACTAACAAAGCTCATATTTCAGTATGAAAGATTTTAATACCTCAAAGTAGATGCCAATTTTTTGCAACTTCTCTATGTTGAGAGTAACGATACAAAGTGAATAATCTTAAGCAAACTAGGCAGCTCAAATGGCACAATGACCAAACAGGAAGAACAACTTAATAGTACTCGTAGGAAATGGTAGGAAACCAAAAAAAGTGAACAATAAGCCAGGCAAACCTGGGATAAATTTCAGCAGCATTTGAATCAAATTTAAATCAAAACAAATATGGCTAGTAGATTGAAAAGAACTGAACTGGCGATACAACTTACAGTGTCCGGTAGCCAGGGTACCATAGTGATTCTGTGGAAAAAAAAAAACTCACTTAGTAGATGAAGGACGAAAGTGATACAGAGGAAAACAAAATTGTTTAAAAAAACAGCTGTGCATATAGCGATATTCCGGGTGCGAGGCGAATTCGAACACTACAGTTTGAGTGCAAATTGAATAGAATGTTTTTTTAATAATTTGAAGTGAAATTACAGAAAAAAGGTTGCAGAGGATCGTTGAAGGGACACTAAACAGAAAAACGATTTTTGGTGTATTAGTAAAATACAATTTCACAATCCCGGAAACACCACTCTTATCGCAACGTGGCGCTTAGTAAATGACAAAATGAGACGAAAGAAAATGCGGGTGGCGACAGCACCTTAAGATTACCACACCAAACACCGCGACGTAAAAAGTTTTGAAGGCGTCAACTAGGCTCTACGTGGCTTCTAATTGATAAAAATGAAGTTCACTGTAATCTGTGGGTGCCATAGACTTAGCATGTGAGGTTTCAGAAAAAATTCATGAAGCCAGTGCCAGGAAAATACCATAAATACATTTTGAAATTTCTTACATCATGTGCTGAGATTTTGGCATGAAATTTAAATATGAAACTTCAACCTTGATTTTCTTTGCTAATAATGAACTTATGACAGTCAAACATACGGCATTAGAGTTCTGAGAGTTCAAGTTGTCAATAACATTCCTCTGTGTGTTCTTTTAAGCACATTTTTATGAGTTAGAAACATTAAAGTGTTTCTTTTGGCTAAATTAGTGAAGTACTGGAGGGATTGCATTCCCTAATTTTATCTAGAATAAAGCAATGCAGAGACTGAACTATATTTATTTACATAATTATGTGCAACCAACGTGGTATCAACAACACTTTACGCATAAAAGGAAAAGACGCTACTAACCCCACCTCGTCTTCTGCAGAGGTTTAAATTATTTGGTGGACAACAGAATGCTCTTTTAGAATTCAGAATTGCTAATCTGCCTTGTAGATATCAGTATATAAAAACAACTGAAATTTCAGATGTTAAAAATCCCTGTCCAATTTTTTCGGATTTTTTGCTATGAAATTGCATAAATTAAAGACCCCAGCTCTGCAGCATAGGTTCGAACCAGCGCTTTTGTGAGTCAATCAGTTTATGACCATAGCAGAACACTAAAGGCATTTTCGACACAATACCAGCACATAATGCGGTGACACACATTAATATAAAGGGGCCACTGTAACAGCGCAATGCGTCTACATGTTGCAAACAGCGTTTCCTCAAATTATTACATTTGCTACCATAGCAGAATCTGAGAGGCAACTTCGCTGCAATTTAAGAATGCGATATAGTGAAGCATATAAAAAAATCCGAACCACTGTGAATCAGACTAACTGTACTTGTCTTTGGGAAGTTTAAATACTTCGAAATGTCAAAATTTCAATGCAAATTGAATTTGATTTACAGTAGAAACACTATTTGAAAAACATTTGAAAGTTTGAATAGTCGCACACCCCTACTCTAAAGCAGAAAAATGAATCTGGAAGGAAGGATTATGTACAGAGTTTTTCACGCAATATATTATTTTTATTTTTCACGTTTACTTCTTGTGCTTCATGATGCAACTGCTACTCTCACACGTGACTTCACTTTGGTAAGTGTGCATTTTTTTCAAACGACTTCAGCCAAGCCCTTTTTCCCTTCCTCAAAAGACAACTGAAGGAAGTAGGAGACATGTGTCACATTGATCCCAAGAGAGGAAAATGTGGTGAAGCCGGCACATTGAGACTAGATTCAGTGCATTCCACATTGCACAAAAGACTGTTTTTACATAGAATACCTCACTGACTGACCCTTCTGTCTGAGCAACACAGATGCTCATGACCTTCTGGCATGCAACAAAGTGATAGCTGGCCAACACAGCCAGGACCGGCACTTTGTATTTCCAGAAGCACATACATTAAAACAGAGACAAGGGATGTCGGTGCTCAATGTGTCCACAAAAATTCAAGATAAAGAAAAGATAAATAACAATCAAATTATAGCACAAAGACTGCTTTTAAGAATTATTATTACAGTACCAAGTTTGGCTGCTCTGCAGTATGACCAACTTATAAAAAGAAGATCAACTTTCTGGAATGATTGCAGCCGCATTTTGATCTGCCTAAATGAACACTTTAACTGTGCATGCAAACTGGGACACCTATAAGTTACACTTCTTGCAAGGAATGCTTACCAGGAATGCGTATAGATGGTACGGGGGTCTGTGCTGGGTGTCTACCCGGGTGTGGTCCACGTACACGTTCATATCGAAGCTGTTGACTGGAAAGTGTACGTACGTCTGCAGCTTCTTGCTCTGCCATGCGGTTTCACATCGGAACCTGGCAGAGACCAGTACGCCGTATCAGGTGACATGCCACAACCAAGCATTATAGCTTAAGGGGAGATACAATTCGAAAAAAAAAACAAAACAAGTTTCATTATTTTGCAGCCTAGGGCAATTAAATCTTTTGCTGTCTATACATATAGACCATTATGCTGAACTGAAATATTCACTTAGTTATATAGTAAGTTGCACAGTTTTCGCTTTGTACCCTGACAACGTGTAAAGCATAATTCACTTTGGACAAACTTTTTAGGCCATTAAACTTTTATGATTCTGAGCCATCAATGACTCATAGTGCTACTCATTACTGAAGAATGCAAATAACTATCAAGAAAGTGCACATAAAACATTTTAATGGACAATAAAAATTGTAATTTGAGAATTCTTAGAATTCTCAGCCCGTACTAGTTATTTGCTTCAGCTTCGTAATATTTGTACAGGCAATATCAAGTTTTAAAGGAGATAATTGCACCTTCCGCTTGTTAACGAACATCTGGGCGAAATTTCATCCTGATCTGGCAATCAGAAATAGCAAAAACATGGTGCCTAATCTCAAGAAGTTGGCCAGAAATAGATCTAGAGAAAAACGCATCTTAAAGACATAAGTCAAAGCTCACCTATGAACCAAAGGTATGTTTTTTGAAGTGATTTCATCTATCATGACAGCTTGGAAATCATTATTTTTTTTTTGAGCATGTGACACAGCTTTGTCGCAAAGGTAAAGCAATGAATGCGATAGCAACGAATTGGAAGGTCACGTGAAAAATGGCAAGCAGATCGAAACGTGCCCGACGTTTCTCATGTACAGATGATGCCCGAAATGTACTCACAGGTACAAATGAACGGGAATAAGCGTCTCAGTTGTTGCTTCCCTGTGTCTGAAAAGCGTGCCCTTTTCGCAAACAGAGACTGTGCAATGAGTGTAGTGACTTTTGTGCGCCCGGTAACTACAACATAATCGTTCCGATAAAAGCCCAAGGCGTACGATAGCCCCCACCGCAAGATAAGTGAGCGCACACAAGAGTGTCCCTCTCTGAGGGGCAAAGTAAGTGTGGGAGATGAGAGCGCGTGCCGCCCTGTCGTGGCGATCTGGCAATGCACTCTCATTGCCCCATCTCGCTGGTAACGCTGAAAACAGAATAGTAGTTCCTCCGAGATGCCCATCGCGAGCGGTAAGTGGTAGATGTAAATAGCTTGCGGTTTGAACATTCAAGGAGGTGCTCCTTTGTGGCTCAGTGGCTAATGCCTCGCACACAAAATTCAGAGGTCAGAGGTTCGATTCTGCGCGCCGGAGTCTTTTTCTGGATTATTTTTCTTTTCTTGCATTTTTATATACAGTCGAGCACCAATATATGTAATGCGAAGGGGATCGTGAATTTGATATATAAAAAAAATAAAGGACCCGAGAGCTTTTCTGTAGCGGATCATCAGCTACAATAGGGGCATTCAAGAATGACAACTAATTCCGCACACACGCCGCAACAGAATGATTTGTTTGCGTGATAAAAATTGCTAATCTTGGCCTGCTTCTTCATTTTTCAAATGTTGAAGACGCTAGTCTCGATCTTATCAAGACTGTCCAGGTGCGACAGCGCGTTTCCCTCCAAGCGGCCAATACAATGACGAACGATGCTGAACGCCGCCGCCACTTCGGCGGAGCATGCGCATGTAGCCAGCGCCTCGTCCGGACAACCCTCGTCGTCACATGAGCTGTCGGCCTGGACATTGCAGTCCGCTTCCACGAAATAATCCGCGGACACTTTGTGTGCAACTGCTGCTGGGAAGCAGGATGATAACTCACGTCAACTATACACTCGTCATTGTCTTCACCGGTTTCCATGCTGCTGGGAAGCAGGATGATAACTCACGTCAACTATACACTCGTCGTCATTGTCTTCACCGGTTTCCATAAGTTTCACCGTCTCGAAGCCTGCCTTGCGGAAGCAGTTGACCACTGTGTCCGTCTTCACGTCTCCACGTCTCGCTGGGCATTGAAGATCTCCACGGGAGAAAACATTGTGGCGATTTCCGGCCACTCCGTCATCCACTGCTGGATGTCCAGGCTGCTGACAGCTTCGGTTTTACGAGAATTGGTTTTGCGAACGATGTTGTAGCGCTGCTTAAATCTGTGAAGCCATCAGGTATTGTCGGCGAAGTGGTTTCACCGAGTACACTGGCAAACCATTTGGCCTTGGCGATCAACATCGAGCCATCTACAGGAATGTTCTTCGCGCGCACTTCTAAAAACCAGGCATAGAGTGCCTTTTCTACATTCCAATGGGCAGAAGCACGCACATGACAGGCTCCCGATGTTCGCTGCTCTGCCGCCTTCGCCTTGTTTTTCAACGAGGTACTCAGAGTGTTCCGTGGTATCCCGAAGTCGTCCGTGTCAGTCGAACATTTCTCGCCAGCCTGAACATGCTTCAACTTTGTCGCAAATTCAAACTTCTTGACGCTGGCCATAGCTACACGAGAAGTCGACAATTCAAGAAGTCTGCAGGTCCTTTCACACCACGCATGCAAAAGAAAAATGCTGCACATGCAGTGGTACATAGGCGATGCAACAGTTTGAGAGCAACAAAGCGCTCGTGAGGCAATGGCCACCTGCGAGGTCAAGAGCCAACTGTGGTTGGCTGGTCAAAACTGGCATAACAGCAACAAAAAATAAATGAAGAAAGGAGGAGGACGTCGGTTCTTTTATTCCTGCTCTCCGAGCCAACGGGTACGCGGAGAAAGCATGAGAAAGAGAAATGAAAAAAAAAAAAAAAACGCTCTGCAAGTTAGAGATTGTGCAGTTCGAGCCCTCTCGCCCTTACCTTTTTTCGAGCGTTTGGGGTTTTGGCGGAGACGTGGTGCCGTGCGGAGGTCACTGGGCGCTGGGAGTGCCAAAGCACGTTTTCGAAGATCGCGGTTTCAAGTGCTTTAGACCACTACTGAAATGCAACCAACAATGACTGGACCTAGCCTGCCGTTTGGCATGTTCTCGCGGGAAGCTTGACCAAGACATAAATATTGGGCGTCGAAAAGATTGCACTCAAGCACTGAACCAAAAACAGCATGAGTGATACGAAGTTTGAGTGTCGATGACGACAAGAACTTGGCACGCCTAAGTAGGACCGTGCACTGGCAGCAAAGGCGAAAGCTCGCGTCATAAAGCCGTAAACGTTTTACATTTACGGATGATGTAGCAAATGCGATATCTGTAGCAAGCTTGACACCGGCGACGCTTTTTTCGACAGGAAACCACACAAAAAGTTAATCTCTAATGAAACTCTAAGCGCAGTTGAAAAGGACGAGATCATACGTGCCATGTTGAGCCGTGTGCGGATGGCAGCAGGCAGCAGGAGCCACGCAGGCCCCGCTAGTACACTGTAGTCACCGTCAGTGCAAAGACTTATTCGTCACCTAGGCAACCACCCTCCTCCCTCAATCGGGGAACCTACGCTGCATGCCGCAGTTTTTTTTTCTCCCTCCGCCTTTCGTTTGTACATTCTGTGTCCGCTCTTCCTTCTCTGTAACGACCTTGTTGCTCACTCCCCAGAAGCACACCCACGGCATCTCCTTTCAGAAACACACTCGCTACCGCGTTTGTCACCAAGATTTTCTGGCAACTGCATTGTAAGCAGTCTTTTGTCTTGGGGAACTGCACAATAAGCGGTATGTGTATACACGAGGTTTTATGAGAGGATAAACGTGAATCGAAAAAGGCCGCAGTGTCACCAGTCTAGCACGAAAAGCTCTTATGTTATGGGTGGTCTGCATCATGGGCGTCGGCAGGGGATGCAAAAGGGGCACTTGCCCCCCTCAAGCCTCACCAGCACTTGCCCTCACCCATGCTACAACACTGCCTTCCTCCTCCGCAAGCCGCGATGCAACACTAATTTTCACCCTTCAAATAAAAATCCTGCCGACGACCATTGTCTGCCCTGCATACGTGAGCGTAGCCAACAGCCAAGCTCACTAGTACTCAAATTACAGAAAGATATTGATCCACCATGTAAAACTTTGTTTAAAGCGTGAAATATGTAGCTACTATTCGCTTATTGTTTTGCATAAAACTGTTTTTCACAATGTGTGGGATCTGCTAAACTTTCGCAACATTTTTATTTTACAGACGATCCCAGATATATTGAACTCGAAGGGGATTGTGAAACAGTTTGATATATCAATATTTCAAAATAGAAAATATGCATATTTACCACTCATATTGATGCACTGCAACTCTCAAAATGGCTTTCAGAAATCGTAATAAGCCTTGGCATGACGATTCACTGACGGTATGCTCAAGAAAAATGTGACAACCTTTTTTGCAAGTTACCACACTTAATTTTACGTGAAAATAATCTGTAGACTTGTCTTGCCTCTGGCACGTTGTCAAGTTCATCGAGTCCTCCTTTTTGATTGAGCATTAAAGCTTTCAAAATAAGCAAATGCAGCACTTTAAGCCACAATAGCAATAATTGACATTGAGCGCATATGCGAGCTCTGTAGCACAGTAAAATATTTAGTGGCTATGTTGGCATCATCACAACTGCACGGGCCAACTTTCTAGGCACCGGCAATGTCAGCCATGATATCAGCTTTGATGCAGTCAGAAACAGCGACATCATCTGCACTGATGAAGTCACACTCTGTACTTTCGTACAAGGTGGTGCCAGGAGATACTAATAGGTAGCAAGTTTTACTGAGGCACTATAGACTCCGTGCACTGAGACTGGCGCACCGCCGCGCGGCCGCCAGAGAAGACAACCGTTGAGAGCCCGAGCAGAACGAAACACCCCCAACATTCGCTAGCACGCAGTTTATCTGAATCATGAACTGCTGCGTAATCGATTGTACCAACAGGTACACGCCGTGTCCTGCGGGAACGAAGTTTCAGAGTTTCTCGACTTGTCTATGCTTTATTGGGCAGTGAAATAAGTGGATCACGGCTGTGGGACGTAAAAAGTGTTTAGTTCCCATTTCTTCTGCCGTATCACACTCTGCCGATGCATGCTTGAATTTGTCTGAGACACCCTCTGCAGGTGCGATAATTTTGCGTGATGTTCTTGCTGCCATAGAGATGGTGAGAAAAGAAATGCATGCAAAAAATTTTATTTTAAGATCAAGGCTGATGGGGCATTTTAATGAACCTTAATAATTACTACCTTGCCGTGTACCATTCACAGTTTTGAGGAATGCAATGCGAGGTCAATTAAAGCTTTCCTGAGTTGATGGGTCCATCAGTGAAGGGGCGAACTGAGTTACGTAGCATTTTACTGTGAACACAAGTAGCCACCCAGCACCGTATGCGCACTCTATAAGATCAAGCTAGCATGTCAGTTGGTTGGTTGGTCCTGGTGCAAAGCACTATGGGGGATTGGCCATGAAATGGGTGGCGCCTCGTTATATAAATGATTTTGTTTATAAATATTAAAATCTTTAGCAATAGATCATTTTCTAAATAACTAATTAGCTTAATTCACGAAAAAGAGAGTAATGTCATTGAAGAATAAGGTTTTTTACATAACCTTACAATTCAAATCGTTTCGTCTCGCGTAGCAAATCGCATATGGCATTCCAAACGCTCCTGTGTCTAAAGCCAAAATCTGTAGCTCCAAAGGAAATAACCGTCTCTGAAGTAATGAATTGAATCCCATCTTTTGAATTTTGTTCATTCAAAAGCCTTTTTCTTTGACTGTTAAATAATCTGCATGTTAGGAAGAAATGATGCAGGGCGTAGAGTATAGCAGAACTTTACACTATACATGGTAAGAAACAATGCTTTGCGAATGCTGTAGCGACGGATGTGCATGTCGGTGTTTGTTTCGGAAAGCGGAAAGCAACATAAACAACATAAGAGGTTATAGTGAATGAGAGACATGTGACGGTGGCCGAAGTGACCATGCCGTCATCGTCAGCACTCTACAAGGTGAAGCGAAAGACGGAACGGGGCATGTGCCATGCTCTCTTGACTAAATCTTCTTGCATTCTCTTTCTCCCTCGTGACTCAAGCTCTGGGCATGAGCTGCGGGAGCACCTTGGTAAAGACTATGATCATGATGAGCGACGATGATGCCGCGACAATTTCAAGCAAAGCACTTCACGAGACTCGGTGGCTGAAAATCACCGTGGCACGACGCCGCAACAAACAAGCACGCCAGTTTCCAGGGTGAGTGGCGGTGGAGCCATCGATATTTCTAAACGCTCCGAGTATTTTGCAAGTATACACGGGTAGTGGGAAAGCACCGATAATAATCTAAGTTCAAAAGAATGACAGCTTGCCGCAATAGTTATGCAGCAAGCCTCATGCATTAAGCATACCTGACACGCGCGTTTAGCCGTCATTCCTGGCGACGGGCAGCAAAGTGCTCACTAACGCAAAGAAACATGGTCGCTTTCGTGAGGGTTTTCCCATTTATTCATGGTGGCATTGCGGAAGATTGTCCTAAATTTTGCTCGAAACACGCACTAACCCGCCGGCCACGGGCGCTTGTGCCACCATAGTATCAAAGCAATTAGGCGCTGCTGTCTGCTACGACTCTCAACGCTGCGTGCTCGTCACACCACAAGTGGCACTGCACGCACCTTTCAAGGCGCCCCTATAGGTCCCACACGGAGTGTATACGCCATGGTCAGCCAAGATGTCACCAAAGCCCAAGAGAGAACTGTACACGACAGTGCCTTGCTTGACATCGTTCCAAGCACCAGTCATCATTGTTATCAGTGCGAGCGATGTGATGCTTAGTTCGACTCCGGATGGAAGATTCAGCAGTAATGAAGCACGAAGTACTCAAGTGCATAAGCCGAAAGTGACAACGCCATCTACAAACAAGCAACCATGTTTCCACCTTTGATCTCTCAGTGATGGTGATGGCACTAGAGGCTTTGTAGTGGCATGCAAAAAGTAAGAAAAAGCATAGCCTCCAAGATCTGGATTCTATAACTGCTAAAAATACGTCAAAATTGTGGATCTTGAAAGCCATGCTTATGCGGGCCCACATGCCATCATGTGTGAGCAAACAAGAAAGGGAAAATACAATGCGATGAGGCCGCTGAGTTTCTGGTATTCATGTAATTTTGGGTGCCCTTGGCAACTAACCCCTCTGAAAACACTGTGTCCGCACGTTACAACCTACAGCAGTTCACACATCCTGTGCCGGTGCACTCACAATTGATGCGCAACAAATTACACCACTTTTTTGTCACATGCACGTGAGGAGGAACAGAAATTTATCAGAACACAGACGAAAAATGGTCCATCTTAATCAGAATAAGTGCATTTTCTGGGCTTCGGTACGGTTCAGCATTTGATATATCTGATGTTACGCTCTGCGGGAGTCTAATACATGTGTGCAACAGCCCTATAGTAATATCACATGGGAAACTGAAAAGGATTTATTAAGTGCTCCGTACAGCAAATAACTATTTATACCCGAGTTCAATATACCTGGGATCAACTATATTTGCCACTTAACCCTGAAATAAAACAATTAACAAGGAACACAGCAACGCATCAGCTGCAGAACAGTGACCAAGCTGGCTGGCAGTAGGCAAACTCACCGATTAAACTGTACAATGAGAATCTTGGGCAGCCTGGCTATGATCATGCGCTTCTCAGCTTTACGTTTCTGCTTGCACGTTGGGCAGTCCCATGCCGCCTCTCCCGACATGCTCTCAGTTTCCAGGAAAAGCTTGAGGCAGTCCTGCATTTTTACAAGTGACCACGTGTGACTGCACTGCATGTTCAATAAACACTAAACAAACACACTTGCACATGTACACCTCAACTTCAGCAAAATCTCCAGCTATATGTGTATGAAGCAACCATTGTGACTATGGACAGAAAAGAATGGGATTGATAGAGTGCTTGTTTCTCTTCTTAGATTCACCCTAATGAGACAAACAGATTATGGGTTTTTAACATGGGTTCCACGAAAACCAGGGAATCCATCCGTCAACGACATCTTAGGGCTCTGGGTTCAGCCAAGATGAGTGCAGCCCGTCTCAGTTTTACCCCCATTAGTAACCAATTTATTTGTTTTACAGAAGCAAATTGCACGTAATGAATCCGTTGCACATGACATCCACACAATGGATGTATGCGGGTAGCAAGAAACACAGGTGGTAGCAACACAAGACAGTCATCTAGTGCGTGCCATGAAACTTTCATGATTTGTGTGGACCCTTGGGGACAGCATGCAGAGCTCTGATAATTCATGCTCATCAGTATTCATCATCATCACCAGCCTGACTACGTTCACTGCAGGACAAAGACCGCTCCAATGTTCTACCAGTTAACTCGGTCCTAATCCGAGTTAGGGGGAGACAAAAGGTTAGGTGTGCAGATGAGATTAAGAAGTTTGCGGTATAAATTGGCGGCAGCAAGCATCAGTATTCAAATCACTTCAAATGACACAGATGGGCACCTTCGCACTTCATTTGTGGATCATGGTGTATCAACAATTCCGTCACACTGTTTTTGTACATAGCGTTTTACTACTACTTCATGGTGTTTTTCCAATTAAAAATGTGCTATGAGCAATTTGATATGTGTAAACTGTGGGAGAGCACATGTGCCCAGCCACCTTTTCCTTTTTACGCCAGCACGGCAGCCTAGTTGCAAGAACATGTCTGTCTCTTCGAGACACGAGTCAATAAAGCCTCTTGCAAAGGAATGGGACAGCCAACGGCCAGCGCATGCGATTCAAATTTCCCGGAGCACGGAACAGCTTTCTTTTCCCTCAGCGAACTTGTGGAAACCAGTGAAGAACGACGACGACGAGTGCATAGACGATGGGTTTCGCGAGTTGTGATAAGATCCAGACTAGCGTGTTCAATATTTTAAAAACGAAGAAGCGAGCCAAGGTTAGCGTTTTTTTTCACGTAAATAAATCATTCTGTTGCAGCGTGTGTGCAGAATTAGTTGCCATTCTTGAATGCAGCTATTGTAGATGATGATCCACTACAGGGAAGCTCTCGGGGCTTCTATTTTTTTTATATCAAATTTTTCATATCATTATTCGGCCATGTATGTCTGAGTTGGCGAGAGTTCAATGCATGTGCTTGCAGAGACCAAAGGACGAGTCATAATCATCAGATCTTACCAAATTTTGTGGTCTATAAATAAAATTTTGCTACAAAGAAATTCCACAACGAATTTTTTCATGTGTACCGTCAATTTCGTTGTAGCCGGATTTGACTGTATAAGTCGAACAGCAATACTGTTGTGTGATTGGCATGTTTCCCTTTCTGTTTTGAAAAGAAAGAGAAGAAAAAAAGACATCTGTAGGCCTGGCACTTCATTTCGATGTACACACTGCTTACGTTGTGCAGTGCCTGAAGCTTGCAGTGTGTGCTCGGCAGGCGCTTTGCACGGAATATAAAGTGGCGCGAGTGTATGCATTATTGGGAGTCCTTTTTATCCTCATGCCAACACAACCCCCCCCCCCCCCCCTATACTCCTCCTTCACATCTTCATGCTCAAGAAAAAGTCCGCGGCACTGGAAAAGTCACTGGGAGTTCCTCAGGGCCTGAAGAAAGTTTGAGAACCCCAGCAATACTATGAAGCTAAAGAAGGTATTGGGGGCATTAGTTGTACATTTTAGCTGTAGTGCTGTAACTGTGGCATAAATAGAAAGGAATTAAAGTGGACAAAAATCAACTTGCCATAAGTAGGAATTGCACTTGCAACCTTTGGATAACATGTCCAGTGCTCTACCAACAGAACTACAGCAGCAGTCACTTTTCCATCCACTTTATCGGACATTCATGTTTGTGCAATCCGGAAGGTGTCAGGCACTTCATTGTAGCCAGCTGGCATCACATGGCACATGACCTTATTACTAGCTGAAAATTCACCAATAAACTCTCGCAGACTTACTGAAGACAAAGTGTGCCATAACGAGACCTTCGCTGTAAATGAACAAAAGAGGGGAGATTGTTTGAGGGCTTGTTTCCTATGTTACTTTGGCAAAACTTGTAGCTGGGCTAGCTGGTGTATGCTACAAATAAATTAGACATCGCAAACACTCAAGAAGAATAGGGGAAAGGAAAGAGTGTCATTCGCAACTGCATTATGCACGTAAAGTAGACTCTCAGTAAATGGAAATCTGTTAAAAGGAACTAGTACTGCTTAAACAGAACTATTGCCCCTGCAATGCTTGGTGTTGGGCTTGTATTCTGCACCCAAGTTCACCTCTCAGTAAACGAAACTCCTGTTATTATAAAACATATTTTCTCAGTCCCTTCAGGTTCCATTTACTGAGAGTCTACTGTACTATGTGTATTGAAAGTGTATTTCTTGATCCATACTTATGTTCTGATAATGTTACAGTAATATTTTTATACGTGTTTATATATCTTTGTTATAGATTCCTTTGAACTGATTATGTTTTTGTTCCCCAACCCCTAAGTAACGCCTATATGGGGATGTAGCTAATGTGTAAATAAAAAATACATAAAAACTTTTCTTGTAAGATCGACACAATGTATACACCATATGATACATCGCAACGATACACCCTGCGGCGACCACTATCAACGCAAGTTCTAGTTACAGAAACTTTTCAACGAAAGTCAAACATGGCTAATTACAGCACCAGCGATGTATTGCTAATTAGATATCTAGGCTGGGCAAAAGTGCTTCAGTTATAAATGGCCAGAAGTACTTCTGCACGCATACAGGAAAATTAAACAATACAAACATATTGAGGCCTCAATTTCGGTGTCAGGGTTTCTTTAATGTTAGTGTAGATTCATCACATACTTATCGCCTGTTTGGAACTCTGTCGTAGAATCTAGTTCAGAACGTTTTATGAGACTCATTCGTTGCACAGTGCAGATCCTCAAGAGCATTGCAATGGCACAATATATGAATATTTGTGTGTTTTCTTTTTGTTTTATAGTAAGGTTTTTGTTTTGGTTTAAACTAAAATGCATATTTCTAATAATCAAGAGGGCTGCCATGCAAAGTTGAGGACTCCCCCTGTAGTTTTGCTAGATTTACGCCACTGCGCAGAAGTATTCAGCTCCTAGGACGAATCACAGACGTCTAGACTGGTTCATATTGAATCATCAGAGTTTAACGAGAGAAAGCGCAGGAGGGAAGGTTTTTAAGAAGACCTGTAATAAATTTTACCCAGTCGAGTTGTACAACACTACTGGAACGTGGAAGTATGTAGAAAAAGAAGAGTAGTTTTCCATGCATATAACCCACCCCTGTATATATCGTATTTACTCGTGCGATGAACGCACTTTTCTCCCTAAAAATCAAAGCAAAGTTGGGGGGTGAATTTATTACACAAGGTAAATATCACGAAAACTTTTGCGGGAGAAAGAAAAAATGTGGTAATGTAAAAAAAAAAAGTTAGGTCGCTCAGCCTTGTGAAATTTACATATGCGTACACCGTTCGGAAACAGCTTCTTTTTTGCACTTTACTCATCTTCAGTGATTGATAGCCCTGTCTTCTGCAAGCTGTCCCCGGGGGGGGGGGGGAGGGGGGCACACGCCATTAAAACGCTTTGCGACTATCTTTTCACCCATTGGTGTAACCGCAACAGTGTTATCTGCTTGTGATCTCGAGAGGCGTCTAAAAGTGTGCACTCACAGGGGAACGGGGAATGAAGGGACAGCTAGAGCGAAGAAAAAAGAATGTAGGCTAAAGAAGAAGGGGGGGGGGGGGGGGGGGGGGTTCGCAGGAAGCGACCAACGTCGGTTGGCACCGGTCAGTTTGGTGACCTTCGCTCACTGTGTGCTTATCAGCTGCGTTTGTCTCTACACTCGCAGTGCTTGTGAACCCCGCTGTGGTGCACAGATACTAAGACAGGGGAGGTGCCGCACATGGATAGTAAGAAAAGCAATAGGCACATGGCAACAGGTGAAGAGGACGGGGGGGGGGGGGGGGGCTTGACAAACTCATGAGGTAGGCCTAGCTCTCTTGATAGTAGGAGGCATTTCAGTTGAGCTATCTTAATGGATATAGTATGACCCCAACTTCTCACTTCTTTAATCAAGGTAGGTGCTGGTCTTGGGGCCACGAAACGATTGATTGATACTGATTGATATGTGGAGTTTAATGCCCCAAAACCACCATATCATTATGAGAGATGCCATAGTGGAGGGCTCCGGAAATTTCGACCACCTGGGGTTCTTTAACGTGCACCCGAATCTGAGCACATGGGCCTACAACATTTCCGCCTTCATCGAAAATGCAGCCGCAGCAGCTGGGATTCGAACCCGCGACCTGCGGTTCAGCAGCCGAGTACCTTAGCCACTAGACCACCGCGGCGGGGCGACCTACAGTCGAGGGATGCTGATGGTATGCTGTCCGTCTTCTTCCTGCAGTGTCGCACGCAAGACTCATCTGCATCATGTCATCTTCCCGCTTCAAGTCTTCAATGCTCCTGATCAACGATGATGATCTTCAACTTTCGCAACACTGTGAATGATTGATTGATTGATTTGATTGATTTGTGGGGTTTAACGTCCCAAAACCACCATATGATTATGAGAGACGCCGTAGTGGAGGGCTCCGGAAATTTCGACCACCTGGGGTTCTTTAACGTGCGCCCAAATCTGAGCACACGGGCCTACAACATTTCCGCCTCCATCGGAAATGCAGCCGCCACAGCCGGGAATCGAACCCGCGACCTGCGGGTCAGCAGCCGAGTACCTTAGCCACTAGACCACCGCGGCGGGGCAACACTGTGAATGACTGCCGCCGAACGCTACTCATGAGGACACAACAGATTGATTAATGCATAGCAAACGGGTCAAGTGCCGAGATCCAGCCGTGTCAGCCGGATAAAAGAGAGGCTTAGTCTGTATTACTGCGTAGAGGTTTCACAGCACAGTGCAGATTGCCATGAAACTCTACTAAAGGAAAAACCCGACGTGTTACCCGCACCCCTACTATGCCCCTAACATTTTTGCATTCTTGGTGCAGGTTATACTTGTGAAAATACGATAGACATGCTGGTGAGCACAGCGCAAAAAAAGGGGGGGGGGGGGGGAAGAAAATGGAACAATGAATGGCTCTTGGCTGGGCTTCTTCATGGATCACTAGTTTTTATTATACTGAGGATGTGCCCATAACTCAGTGCTTTACATGCCTCTACGTTTCTTGCAACCTCACTAAGGTCAATGACATGCATTTTAATGCCTGACAATTTTTCAATTTGTTCTAGCAGCCTAGCTTGACTAAAAAAATTTGTGTCTGAAGGCTAACTCTGGTAATTTTTCACGGTCAATGAATCTCAATGAAATTAAATGAATGAAAAGATGAAGCCATCAACCACAAGATAATAAAAATGTACTAAGACGTTTCAGCACCCAGAACGGGAGCCTTGTTCACAATGTACATTTTTATTATCTTGTCGGCATCTTTGTCCTTTTATTCTATGATTGCTTGTGACCAGATGAGCATTCGTCGAATCCTTGATTCATCAATGAAATTCAGCGGGTGCATTCCTTTGTACGTTTCCCCATTTATGCCAAATCGCCGGCATGGAAGTTTTACAGATTGTTTTACAATTAATTTTACAGATTCCCTCAAAACGCCCATCAAGCTTGCCAGAGTTATTGACAACATAGTGTGTGTAAAGTCAGGGTGTGCAAGGCGACGGAAGTGGATGGCATTGTGGGCCGCATAAGATAACAGCCACTAAACACTCGCAGCTGATGACTACACTTAGTCTCAATCGTAGGGTGTTTTAGCTAGTGCTGCGAGCCTAACATAAAAAGTACAGCTAGTATCCTACTTCATCGTACTGAAACACTTTCGGAAACGAACGCCTGATCCACTGTGACCGCATTTATCAGAATACGGCTAGCATTACGGAAAAGGTACTTACTCGGCCGGTGTTAACAATCAATCGTATCAAAGTCATACTGCGATCCACAAACTTATGCCCTCTTTCTATGACAACATTAAAGGGTCTTAGTTTGACGACAAATTTCTTGGCGTGAGCATTTTAGCTCATCGCCGCAGCCACAAACTCGGGACAGCCTGGACAAGTGATGCCATCTGTCGTTGTTAGGCACAACCAGGCAAGCAGATACGAAAATATGTTCTGCTTCATCGAAGAAGGACGGCAATACTTGTTCACTTCCAAATGCATCCGAATCGTAGCTGTCGTTGTCCAACAACTTCGATGAGTTTGTGTACATTTTACACGATCAGTCACAGACATGGTGCGCAGCAGTCACCTATTCGCGGAGTGTCTGCTCTTCTTGACTTTCACAGTTTTTGTACTCCATGTTGTCACGATTAGCATGCCTTGCAAAATTTCCGGTTCTTACCAAGCAGTATGTCATACGTAGGCAGTACACTCATTTGGGTTTCCATTTCAGTAATACGCCTGTTTGCTTATTAAAAATTGTTTTCAAAGCGGCTGAGCATTCCAGCTATTGGGCACGTGACCAGAGTGTCTCAGGAACATAAAAGCACGATTATCTTGACATCGTCAAAAAATCACCGGAGTTGGTCTTTAAGCGTAGCAAAACTTAGTTTCCCGTGGTGGCTTGTCTAGATCCAGAGATTTCTTGTGCCTTTCACTGTGTTAAAATTCTGGCCACCATTGCTATTCCACAGCTGTTGGAAATGGACAGACAGGGTTTAGTTGGAGGTGCCTTTCTCGAGCCGGCTGCAACATTCGAAGGACACGCACTACTGGTGAGTGCCACTGAAAAGTGTTTCTTTTTTTCTCTTGTTGGCCCGCTTCAGTTTTTCTCCTTCCTAGACTCTGTGGTGGCTGTTATCAAAGGCACCAAAGTGACTCGAATAAATATAAGCAGCAATCCAGCATTTGATTTTTTTATAAGTGAAGACTCATTTGAAACATGTTCCTTATATGCTTGAGCATCCACCAAAAGGTGCTGATAGATGCTTCTCTTTCCCAAATATAATACAGCGCCCAGCAAACGACCTAGAAAAGTGCTCACAGCACTTTTCACAGCTGTGTTGTCAAACTAAGGACTCGGCAAACAAGTCCCTCCTCCTATGCTTGCCAGTGCCGATTTAAGCATCTGTCACTGACGCAAGCAGCCAGTGAAGTTTCACTAAATATGCTGAATTGCCTCAGGTGTATTAAATTATTTGCTGAATATACGAACAGCACAACCTTGAAGTAGTTACCGCGTAACCACTTCTAGATTGCACTGTTCATACACTCAGTTATGTCCTACCAACTTGCCCAAGTTTCCCTGCTTCGTAACTTCATTTCTAGTACAATGGTTTCTTTTTCTTGTTCTTTTGCCCCTCCTAATGTTTTAGTAAGTCGTATCACCCTGGCTGTTTACAAAGCTGGGTCCTTTGCTTACTGCATCCCTGTCAAGATCTTGCCTGCAGAGGTGGCGTTCCTTTGTGCTGGTTTCACTCCCTCGGTTGGACGCGGTGCTTGCATTTGCAAGATTTTGTGTTAAGAATGGTTGCACCAGGCCCACCTTTGTCGCAAGAGCCTCTATCTGCAGCTACAACGTTCAGAAAAGCCCTCTACTGCTAAGAAGAAATGACGCAATTTAACTGCCTTAGCTGACAGCACGAAGGAACTTACGTGGCAAAACGCACTATGTAGCCTACGAGCTGTACCTTAAAAGAAGCCAGCATTGCCGAACAACTCCGTGCACATCGTTGGCGAAGTCTAACTTCCTCAAGAAGTGCGTGATATAGCGCTCTTTTCTGTCCTTGTTTATAGCTTTTGTAGTTACGGTGTAACTACTTTTAGGTTGCACTGTTCGTATATTCAGGTTGTACTGTTCGTATGTCCTACCAACTTGCCCAAGTTTCCACGCTTCACAGTATTTGCAGTTTGAAAAATTCATAGACAATGGAATGAGCATAGCATAGAACAAAGGCAATAGTATCAAGATGAATTCAACAGAGCATACTTCTTGTTTTCAATGGACTAACCTGAAGGTAGCAGACAGACCCGCTGATGGCTGGGATAGGCAGCGACAGGCAGGAGAACACTTCAAAGCTACTCGATGACTTTCGGCACACCAGGCAGGTCAGGTTTGACACCAGCAGGCCCTCAAACAGGTCTGACACCACTGACAGGTGCCGGTCCAAGTGCTGGCACCAGAAGCGGTTGATGCGTCCATTCAGGGACAGGGCAGCTTCGTCCGCGGGCGGCAGAGGTGCAGGCGCACCTTTTCGGTTAACAGCCTGAAAATGGTAACAGTTTCATGGCTGAAGGGAAACCATAACACTTTTCTAAGTAATCACAGAATGACTTTAGAGCCTTACAAGTCTACTGGAGCGAGAATTGTTTTAGTCATGCACGTAGTATAAGCAGAGTTGCAGGTAGTAATACCGTATTTATTCAAATCAAGGCTGATAGTTTTTTTCGAATTTTTTTCGCATCAAACTCCAGAGTCGGCTTAGGTTCAAGAATCTCGAAAACACGCCTTTTTTTTTTTTTTTGAGAAAAGTAGAGCAGAGCTAGAGCCACCTAGATGGTATTATAGTCGTTTAGCCCAGCCAACACCTAGCTTAAGCACACACGTGAGGCCACCATTTTGATTTTTGCTGCGAGTGTGGAGACGAGCCATTTGTCATTTCGAGTCGCGCTTCGAGTGGTATGCGTGTGGCATAGCTCAATGGCGTCAAACAAGCGGCGTCATTATAGTGCAGCTTATAAAAATAACGTTGTCGCCGCAGAGTCATCGTTTAACGTTCAAGCGGGGCGGGACCTTGAAGTGGACGAAAAAAATGTGCCTAGCTGGAGGGGCCGCAGCATTGGACGACAACCCGGGAACTTTGATTGTGCGCTCTTTTAAGAAGTGCGGCATATCCAATGCACTTGATGGCACCGAGGATTGCACACTGCTTGAAGACAGCAACAAAGAAGACGGTGACGAGAAAAGCAGCAACCGACGACTCGAAAAGAGTGCGGCATTTTTATGATGCAAATAACAAGAAGTAGTGCGTAAAAAACAATGACAAAGAAATACACACAACAGTAGTAGCGACAGTATTTTCTCAAGTTATTTGCATCATAAACCAACTTCTTTGTTTCATCTGCATCTTCAAAAAATGTTTCATCTTCTTGAACGCCATCCTCGCTGTTTCGTTCGGCCACGAACGAGGTAATTTTTTTTCCTCCGGGCTTTCGACTTTTGGTGGTCGGCTTAGATTTGAGTAAATACAGTATGCTCCAAGTAGCTTTCTTTCCCTTTTTGACCCCATGAAAGAGCTACACCAAGAAGGGGACCTTCCTAAAAGTTATGCAGCATCAAATTGAGCCGAGGGCTTTTTCTCATGTTTTTTTTTTCTTCTTTGAATACTCTGGTTATCGCTACCTGCACAGGTTACTTTTGGTACCTGTATAAGGAAGTAGGTTATCAGCTGAAAAAGTATTGTCATTATAGGTTGTCCTGAACCTCGCCTTAACAAAGTAAGATGACAATGGGAAGTGAAAATCCGCAGATCTTTCACTAGCCCTTTAGAGGCATCCCCCGCTTGTGTTTCACGTCGCATAAATATTGACACTTCTCTTTTCAATGATATCTATGCATGTAAAGCCGAATCCTTTTATAAAAGACACTGATGTAACAGACAAACGGCTATAAGCAACACCAATGTGCCTACACTGAAATAGGGGTTAATAAAAAAATCTGTACATCATACCATGCTCATAAGAAACACTTCCCATAAGGAAGAAAGATATCTCCCCAATGCATGCCTTTTATGAAGGGGTGCAACTGTAGTTGTAAAAATGTCACATTTATATCGCTGCACGTAACATTCACAAGGCTAAATGACCACTTGCCATAATATGAGTCATTCCCAACATTTTCAGACCATTTTATTGCGATATCAATTATATGGACACTCTCGGCAGCGTTATGCTGTTGGCTTTGATGGTGCCGTCATTCACCGTGTGTAAATATCTGTATATATATGAAAAGGCAACAATCCAGAAAAAGACTGGTGCACGGAATCGACCATACGACCTCTGCATTGTGAGTGCGAGGCATCAGCCACTGAGCCACGAACAAGCACCTCCTTCAATGTTCAAATGGCACGCTATTTACATCTACCACTTACCGCTAGCAATAGGCATCTTGGGAGAATTGTCGTGTTTTCAGCATTACCGGCGAGATGGTGCAATGAGCGTGCGTCGCCAAATCACGATGCGGCAGCACGCGCTCTCATCTCCCAGGCGTACTTTGCCCTGCGGAGCGCTTATCTCGCGGTGGGGACAATCGTACGTCTTGGGCTTTCACCGGAACGATTATGTTGTAGTTACCGGGCGCACAAAGGTCGCTACACTCGTTTCACAGTCTTCGTTTACTAGAAGGAAACGCTTTTCAGACACAGCGAAGTAACAATGAGATGCTTACCCGCGTTCATCTGTACCTGTGAGTACGTTTTGTGCATCATCTGTGCATGAGAAACGCCGTGCACGTTTCGATCAGCTTGCTATTCTTCGTGTGACCTTCCAATTTGTTGCTATTGCGTTCATTGCTTCGCTTTGTGGCAAAGCTGCAACTTTTTTTGTATTTTTTTCAGGTCTTGACTGACGTGACCAGTGAAACATAATAGACACCAATGCCAAATGACAAGGGGGGCTTTTCCAATAGTTTTGCTACATGCAGAACACTTAGATCGATGTCAACTCTTTATTGCTAATATTGCTCAATGTGCAAGCTCACAGTTTTCATGCAGTGATTAAGAACAGAAAACAAAATGAGGCAATCAGCACAGTGATGTTACTGGCTTAGGCTGCGTTGGAGCAGCAAAACAGGCTTTCAGAGCAGATATTACTAGACTGAACTTTAATTGATTGATTGATTTGTAGTGTTTAACATCCCAAAACCACCATATGATTATGAGAGACGCCATAGTAGGGGGCTCCGGAAATTTCGACCACACGGGGTTCTTTAACGTGCACCCAAATCTGAGCCCACGGGCCTACAACATTCCCGCCTCCATCGGAAATGCAGCTGCCACAGCCAGGATTCGATCCCGTGAACTGCGGGTCAGCAGCCGAGTACCTTAGCCACTAGACCACCGCGGCGGGGCGGACTCAACTTTAAGACACCTATTGTGTTCACGAAGAAATTCGTAAACAAGGGGTGTGTCAAGTCGACGTTTCGACAAGTGAACTTGTCTTTCTCAAGGCTAGAGCAGAACAGTTCTGTTCTAGCCTTGGGGAAGACAAGTCCATTTGTCGAAAGGTTGGCTCGACACAACCTCTGTTTACAGATTTTTCCTCACAAGCTTCCATCCAGCCTTTCTTGCCATTTTTTTAATCCTGTGTTTATGGCACACACATGATAAAATTACAATGTGCTACATGGTATTCATGCATAATAGAAGAATATAAAAAAGAGCATTATATTACCCACAGATAACCTGACCATGTTTAATAGACAAAGCCAATGATAAGATTTAAAAACATAGCACTTCATTATAATGACACTGAAGATCAGTTGACTGCCGATTTTCCAGACATGCTTGAAAATTCAGATGATTTCACAACAGCACGACAAGCCTTATCGACGTCTGTGAATAAGAACATCTGAAATTTTCTATGCTGAAACTCCTCCGCATCTGATTTTTTCGGCTTTCAGACAACATTTCAGGTACGATACAGCATTACTTAAAGTCCCTTATTTTGCAATGTTCAAGAATCATTCAATAAGACAGTAATGTCTAAATGTCGGCTTTGCCGCAATGCATAAATGCAATGGGGTGAAGCAGATAAAAAAAAAAAATTCGAAGGGGCTGGTACTATTGCGGAGTGAGGTGATGTCTAACAGATAAGCACCGGAAGTGCTCAGAGGCATGACGGCGGCAATGCGGCAAAAACGCCAGTAACAAGCAGTTAGCTGAAAGCAGTCGCTTTCAGCTAACTGCATGTTACTGCATGTGGCACAGTTGTCTGCGTATTGGACGCTTTTAATCACTTACGCACGCCGCCGTCCACGCTACTTTTCTGTGTGAATTGGCTACGTGCGCAGCACAGAAATGATGCCTTCACAAATAAAAGCAGCTCGCTATCGCCACACTCGTGTGCAATCAGAAACAGAGTGGGCATCAAGAACACTTTTTTATGACAAACCCATGCATACGAAAGCGCCCTGGTAGGAACACCGTCAGCTGTGTAGGCGATGTGCTGCACAAAAACTAGGAATGATTGGTCTCGTATGGCAGCAAGTGCTACGTGTCGCTGGAGATTTTCGTACAGTGGCGCCTCTACTAAATGCACACATGCATCGTGGAGGTCCGGACAAGTATTCCTATATTCTGCCACATCTTTTATGTTCTGCGTCATTGTTTACACTCACTCTCTGCGATAAATCCGCAACTTACTCAGCGCTTTGCTGGTATCGGCGGCACTCATCACGCGACACATATTTGCAAATGAACATCGGCAGGCCCTGAATGTATTCACGACAGCTTGAGAGTTTACTGAAATGCCTGTTAAGTCTACACAAGGAGGCATTGAAGCTACTTCAGACAGGGCTGTTTGCGATTTTATTACTTGAGCGAAATAAAAAGGTATGAATATTTTTGCAGACAATTTTGCCGCCCCTAGGAAGTCCGAAAAATTGGGCATTCACAGCGTCCCAATCATCCATGGTCCCAACAGTGATATTTGACCCAGTGTGTATTAGCTGAGCAAGGAAATGGGAAGAGACATGAGATAGTGCAGCATACTGATGCCATCACTGCCTGACTGTCAACCTAGCCTTGTAAATTAGCTTACGTAAAACTTCGTTATTTCAAACTTGCTTTTCTAAAATACCGCTTAATTCGAAGTGTTTCTCCGGTCCTGTATTTTTGCAATGTAAGTTTGAACGGATAATTTGAAGCGGTGGTCAGCACAAATGCGGTTTATTCGAAAATTTTGGGTGCAATGTGTCAATTCTTGATTCCGATTTCGCTGCAGATCTGCGGAAACGATGGCCCTTAAGAGCAACACTATTTGGTACAGCAAATGTACTCTAGCAATATTAATGAGTGGTAGCTGAAGTGCCCACGCCTCACTGCTTCCAGCACGAGAAATATAATTCTAAAAAAAAAAGCTCTCGTAAACAACTAAAATAGGCACCTGTGGAAAACAAGATGTGCTTCACTACAGTACACTAAAGACGTGTGGGCAGCATGTCGCATGCTTCTCGCAATGTCAGTGCATCACGATTTATTTATTCTTT